GCACGAATTTCGGTTTTTTCCATTTTTTAAGAAACTCAGGAGTTGACTTGTTCAAATGACTAACTCACAAACTATTTGATGAAATGTCATGAAATTTTGACAGCGGAGGTTTGAAGGAATATATTCAACAGCCATAAGATTAATTTTTGTATATGATGCCATTTTGTATCCAATTCCAGAAACTTTTTAGCCCATGTAGTATATAACGTAAGTATAATATAAAATATATAATAACATTATTATACCTAAACACGTTTGATGAATACAGGTCTATAACAGTATAAAATTAATAAATTATGAATAAAATTTTGTTACAAACTTTTTGACCATGATGTGTATATACATATTTGTACACACGCGTCCACGTATTTGTGTGTATTTGTACGCGCGCATATATACTATTCTTTTATAGACCTGGGATGACGAATTAGCGGAGATTGCACAAAGATGGGCTATTCAATGCAAATTTGGTCATGACAAATGCAGAAATGTGGGTAAGTTCCAATTTATACATATCATACATAAATTAATAATCGTAAATCATATATATGATTCATTTGTTAGTAAATATATGTATGCCATTCCAGATAGTAGATGGAGTTGGATCGGTCAGAATGGAGCCAAAGCATATGGCAAAATCACATATCCTATGGATGATTTGGTTCAAATGTGGTACGATGAAGTGAAAGACTTTGACAGAAATAAAGTTGAAAAATATGAGTAAGTATCGTTCCAATATTGAATATGCTAATTACATATATATTGTAGATTTTATATATGTTAATAAATATAATAATTAATTAATTCTTCAGATTGCATCAAGACTTTTATATGTAAAAATATTTATGCATCTAAGTAAATATAAAAAATAATTGCGTGAAAATCTATTAAAAACTGTATATCACAATAGTATCAGTTAACATACCTCATAGATTTATGACATATTTTTTTAATATGTTTATAAAATAATTTATTTGCAGATTTGATTACAATATAGGCCATTATTCCCAAGTGGTCTGGGCTAAAACAACAAAAGTCGGTTGCGGACTCATAAAGTACAAGGAATCAAATGACTGGATTTCGATATGGCTAGTTTGCAATTACGGTCCAAGTGGAAATTACAGGGATGAGAAAGTATATGAAATTAAAAAATAAATCCAATTGATAGATTAAAGATATAATGGAAGATTAAAGATGTAAGAAGTAGTGACACAAAAAAACAAATAAAAAGCTGTAATATGCTTTATCGATAAAAATGGACAGTTATAAAAGATAGTTGGCCAGAATGATATTAATATGGAGGAAAATAATTCTTCTTTCTCTTTTTCTTTCTCTTTTTAATATTGTTTAATATAAAATTCTCTTCAAATTTTGTTGTATTAAAAATGGCTTTCCAATATTAAACAAAAAATGTCAATATACTAATGTCACTTTTCTGTTCTAATTATATATGTATGGTATTGTATCTAGAAATAAAGATGAGCAATGAAATAAATAATATGAATTTACTTTAACCTTGAAGATTAACTTTAATATATGCAGTTATATAAATATATTTTTTGCATTAATTTTATAATTATTCTGTGCTAAGATACAAAATTAAAATAAAAATCGAAAAATCAATATTTTATATTAAAATATGTTGAACTAAATCTTTGATTAATAACAATTTTTCTTAAAATTGTTAATTATTTTAGTATAACACAAAATAAAATTAGTATTACGTATATAATTTTTGCTGTACTAATAAATTTAAAAATGTAAATATACAATAAAAAACAAAATAAATTTGTTTAAATTATAAGTAACTCATTGTCAGTATAGTGCCTATGCGAGACGACACAGATGTTGATGTTGTAATAATTTTTTAATTATGTACTAAAGTAATGCCTATCGAGCCGACGGATGTTGGTGTGTATTAATTTTTTACAATATCCAGCCACACGTAAATTGCGCGCCGCATATTCGTCGATCTTAAAACACAGTTCATTATACATGAGGCCGGAAATCCACTTGTAACAATTAAATTGACTAGCAATTTAATCTCTTTTGCTAACATGCATCTATAAGAATCCCTCTCCCCAAATCTGTAAAGAATTATTACGAAAAATATCACCTTAGCTCCCAGCTGGGAATCGAACCTGGATCTCCTAATTTGCCGGACGGGCGTTCTATAATTTGACTCCCGAGGTATGTGATGATATTCTTTGCAAAATAAACGATATGATAAACAATGTAACGCGTCTTTCAGGTAACGTATATTCAAATAATTTGAAGAACTTAAGCTCGTATTGTAAAAAATTAATACACACCAACACTCGTGTCGACTCGATAGGCATGTCTTCAATATATTTAATTTATTCTTACGAGCCTAATTCCTTCAATTTATTTAAAAAATATTTAATTTTTGCTGTTATAATAAATTGAGTAATAAAAAAGACTTACAAAAAATAATTAAAATAAATTTAATTGATGTAATATATTCCGCAATAAGTTTTTTACAGTCTTTTAAGATACTTGTTAGCATCATCATCAAATAAAAAAATTATTTAATAGATATGTAATATTACAGCTTTAAAATTATAACTGTTTTTGAAAACTGACAACAATTGGCGTGCGGCTTATGATAATTGAAATTTAAAAGATTTAAAAATTAAAATATTATTGGTTTTAATTATCAGGATTATTAGTTTTAATACCTAGCCGCGGTCAACTTTGGCTCTTTTTTCTTTATTTATTGTATAAACATATGTTGGCTTTGTATAAAATTATTAATAAAATAAATTTCTTTAGCTTTTAGAGCTTATCTTTTGATTGTACAATACATTTGATCATAATTTTTTTTTACAATTTTTCCATAATTTCTTATTCCAATAGATGAATATTTTTTAAATATAAACACATAATGTTATTAATTAATATAAGTACTCATACATAGAGCATAAAATACCTAATCACGAATACTATATCTACAATATCTTTATAAAATTTTTTTTAGTAATTAGCTTTCTGTAATTATTTTTCTTTATAAAATTTCCTCAAAATGATTAGCTACTTATAATTATTTTTTTTTAAACTATATGCAAACGATAGAATAGTTTTTTCCACATCGTTGATTGTTTTGAAATTTCACAATTGAACTCCTTTTGACCGATTCTTGAATAATATCGTTTATGGTAACATACAATTGTCAATGTGATAGTTGCACATATATGTATGTATTGCATGTCAAAGTGGCTTCTATCAATACGCTCTGTTTTCCGCGCGTATTACATAATTATAATTATAAAATTGAAGGTCAAATGTGGCTTGTGCGCAGTTGTACACATAAAAATGTTGCAGATAGATATGGCAACTTTCTATTGCTATGTACATATATTTATTAAGATTTTTCAATAAAACAAAACAAATTTTTTTTTTAATATTTGTTTTTTTTTTAACATATATTCTATTGCCATTTATTCCGAAAATACAAAATTTATTTTTTAAAATTATTAATGTTGTAATATTCGGAAATTTCTCAAAATATACCATTGTTTATATATATAAAATATTGTACAATAATGTCAAATCAATATCATCTATTAATTAAAATTTGTAACATTTGCTTTAGTTATATGATTTTTTTTATTAGCAATACGTTAGAAAAATGACAATTTGAATATTGCTAATATTTAGAGTAAAATTCCAGAATAAAATTTATTCTAGAATGTTTTGTATTCAAATTATGATTAATACAGTTATTATATTTCAAAGTCGCGTTTCTTTGCATAGAAACAAAATAATAATTAAATAGTAATCAAAATAAATTTTTAAACAGACATTAACATTTTATTTTTTAATAAATAAAATACTAAAACAAACAATAATATCAAGAGCGTTTCTGCTACGTTCAAATAATGAGATAATGTTTTTTTAACGAAAACAATGGAGAACAGAAAAGAAGGTAATATTCGTGCAAGTAATGAACTAAAATGCTAATGTGCAAATAGTTATTATGCAAATAGTACTAATTAATAACGCGCTGTATATAAATTGTAACTGCGTTCCGTCGGGCTTGTTAGTAGTTTGATGAAATCTAGGAAGATATCAATAAAGTCGCGCAATAGATAGTTTAAAAATATCAAATTAAGAAAGAGAATAATGTCAGAAATCAGCTATCTTCTGTATCGTCTAATCGCGGTATTTACTATCGTAACCGCGGATTACTGCAATATACAATCATGTAGTGAGAAGAGCAGTCATACTATGTGCCGATATTCCGTAAGTAGTAATAGCCGTATATACATCAAAAATGGTACAAACATGTTGTCTTATATTCTTACAATAAACTCTTATAATAAACAATGAATGTATCAAATAATATTTTAAAGATATGTCTTAATAAAGAAAACTTAAATTAATTTTAGAGTTAAACTGTTTTCAATAATTTGTAGGCTATTTATAAGATAAAAAAGAATCAATTACTTGTACATAATATGCTTTTAAAGAAATCAGTAAAGTTGCACATGATATCTGTCGTAATTATGACGATATTCACAATTATTATTCACGTATGATTATTGAAATATTATTTGTATTATTTACAATTGTTCTAATAAAACTAAATATCTTGTTGAAAGAAAATAATTATAGATAACGTAAAAATAGAAGAAAATAAAAAATTATAAAACAAGCAAGGAAATTACATGCAAAAAAAATACATAAAAATTTTAATGATAAGAACTGATGATACCGATAATATTAATGATAACATTTTTAAGTGATAACGTATAGTATATAAATTAGAACTGTTCTTTATATAAGTTGCATTTTTTAAAAGCAAGAAAAAATTTCCATTAGCAAAGGAAACTAGAAAAACATAAAAAAATATTAGGGCAGTACATTTCCTGTTGTATTTTGCCTTAATGACGAAAGTATTTGCATATAACCGCGACAAATTGTTGTATATGCACATACAGCTAAGTAAACGTAAAATATAACAATGTGCAGGTATACATTAAGTAGGATTAGTTATATGTACATTTTGCATATACAGATGTATACACAGTGCGATCCATAAGTTCCCGGACTGATTTTTTTACAGCCTTCCCATTAACGCCATTTATCGAACGACTGTTGAATTACGTAGTGTGAACCCTTTCGAACAGCCGTGTTGAGTGGCATCATTTCAGCCGCAGTGGTTGAAGAGTGCGGACGTCTGATATAACTTGGTGTTGTGTATGTGTGTCAGACTCGGGAATGGACGAAAAAAAAAACTCTTCCAACGTCCGCACTCTTCAACAACTGCGGCTAAAATGATGTCACTCAACACGGCTGTTCAAAAGGATTCACACTACGTATAGTTCAACAGTCGTTCGATAAACGGCGTCAATGGGAAGGTTGTAAAAAAATCAGTCCGGGAACTTATGGACCGCACTGTGAATATGTATACATAAACATATGTATAGGAAAAGTTATTTTTTTCTGTTTCTCTCCTTAACTTACGAAAAGTATGTAATGTATAAAAATATATACTATATATATAAATACAATATTCAGGGTGTCCGATACTCAATGGTAAAGCGCTTATGAGCAATTAGAGTGAACTAAACTGAATCAAAAAGTCCTGTACCATTTTGCGATCTTCGCAATAGTTATCGAGATAGTAATCATTAAAAAAAAATTTTCGCCAAATATATAAAAAAATATTGTATGTTACATCTTTTCTAAACTAGAAATATTATTTTAACAAATAAAAGTTCCAAAAACAAATATAAATTCATACAAGATGCCAAGTATTTGATTAGACATACAGACAAAAATATTTTATTCCAAGAACAAACCAAAAATATTTTTTTAATAAACCGTTGAAACCATCCAAAAATATATGAAGCAAGTTTAAATGCCATTGTCTTTCCAAATAATTCTAAGTTTCATAAAACAGGCTTAAAGTGATTAAAATGAAAGATGAGAATTTACCAATGGAAAGATGTAATGTACGATACTTTTTTATATACTTGGCGTAATTTTTTTTTTAATGTATCTCGATAAGTATCTCGATAACTATTGCGAAGATCACAAAATAGTAGAGGACTTTTCGATTCAGTTTAGCCCACTCTACCTGCCCATGAGCGCTTTACCATTGAGTACCGGACATCCTGTATATTTATATAAATAATGTATAAAAATTATTTTACTCATCAAACCATCATTTTTCTTCTTTTAGAAATGTTATTGTCGAGATACTTATATTAATAAAATGTGTTCTATATAATTTTATAAGTGTACTTATAATAGTTATAATTAGATAATTCTAAAAATCATTCCGTAGTTAACAACACCAGCAACGAAATGTGAACAAATATATGAAACTGGTCTTAATAATGTTGAGAAAAAGACAATATTAGATAAACACAATCAATTGAGACAAAAAGTCGCATCAGGCCAAGAAACTAGAGGAAAACCAGGTCCACAACCTATGGCAGTTAACATGTCAGACTTGGTAAGACTAATAAATTATATATTGTTACAGTAAATTTAAATATATAATGAACAAAAAACATTAAATAAATACATACATTCTAATTCACTTCAAATAATTAAATTCTTTAGAAGGAAGTAGTATTGTGATTTAACTACAATAGCTTTGGCTTAAAGATCTGGTTATTTATTTTATCATACTTTGTATATAAATTAAAAATTTACGTAACAATAATGTTAATATTAACCAATATTAATTTAATTGATTTTAATTAAAGTGCTTTCTGCAACGTTTGAATAACTATTTTATCTATACGCTATTTATCAATATACTTAAATGCGTAAAGACACTAGGTTTTTTTTTGATGGTTTATAATTCACGAAAAAAATTTAGTGTGTGGAATACCTTCTTTAATTTTATATGCCATGCAATAAAAAGTAAATACATATTTAAATTAAAATGTTTTATGTTAAATTAAAATTTATACAATATGATCCATATTCTGACCGTGCTCTTATTAACGATATTAGCACGATAACAAGTTTGAAATTCTATTATATGTAATATAAATTATACATATGTTAAATATACACTAACATCATTGTAAGTTTACGATTTGAATACGGATTTATAATATAACAATATGTATATATAAAATTATGAATAGAATTTTATTTCAAACTTTTTGGCTTTGATGTATATATAGGGTGAGAAAAAAGTATGAAAACCCTGAAAAATCTAAAAAAATATAAGTTTTACAGAAAAATGTTTCAAATAAAAGTTGTATGTATGTTCTAAATATACTATATACAATATAGTATATACAAGGTGATTATATATATATATATATATATATATATATAATGTATATACACAACAATATATATATATATATATATGCATATAATATTACATGAATATGTGCGCGCGCATATGTATATAAATGTGTACATATATGTATGTTCTAAGATTAAATTTTATGTACACTGGTCCAAAAAATTAGATCACTTTTTCTCAGTAAATTTTTGCCCATTTTTAAACTTTGGTTACTCAGCGAATAATTGACGTAAAAAATAGATCAAGAAATGGTTTTACAGGGCAAACTCTCTACAATAAGATGCCTTTGTTAAATTTTTACTCAGTTTATTACTCAAAATGTGTAATCAGCTTTGAATAAAGACGTATTTGATACATCTAAAACCTCGAAATTTGCGGTCTTTCACCGGTTAACAAAAAAATTGGTGAAAATAATTATTGGTACCATCTCCAAGTACGGACTTTACTCTTTTAAATAAAAAAAATTATTTTTTTTCTATGCCGATTATTTAGCAAGATATTGCGATTTCAAGTATTTTTTATTCTTATCCGTTTTTTTAATTATTTATTTTTTTACGATTTTTACATTTTTTAATTCATCGTAAAAAAACAGAGGTCACTTGAAATTGCAATATCTTGCTAAATAATCGACGCAGGAAAATTTTTTTTTTATTTGAAAGGACAAAGTCCGTTTGAGATGGTACCCATGATTTTTACGTGTGCATATATTCTTTTATAGATCTAGAATAACGAATTAGAGGATATTGCACAAAGATGGGCCATTTAATGCGATTTTTGCCAATTTTTTTATTAGGCGGTGAAAGACCACAAATTTCAAAATTTTAGATGTATCAAATATGTCTTCATTCAAAGCTGATCACTGATCACGCCTTTGATTATTAAAGTAAATAAAAATTGAACAAAAGTATCTTATAGTAGAGAGTTTGCCCTGTAAAA